CCATGGAGCAGAGCCCTTCTTGAGAAGTTAATACTGTTCTCAACTAGTCAAGAAATTTCCCATCTTTTATGAAATCCAGAAGTTCATTTCCATGTTCATAAGTTCCTGCAAGTGTCATCTCTTGTGATGAATCCAGTCCTTAACTTCATATCCCTTGTTTTTATTTTGTGTTCTAATATTATACTCCCGTATATATTCAGGTCTTCCAAGTGATCTCTTTCCATAAGGTTTCCAACCAAAATTTTGTGTACAATTCTCATGTCTCCCACGTTCCACCTATCTCACCCTCTATGATTTCATAAAAGACTCCATTTAAGTCTGAGGCCCATGTAACATCATAATATATTGGTTTCTTTTATGGTGAGTTTTTAATCCCATTCCAAACTTCATAATCTTCCAGATCACCCATTGTCAGCTGTCTGCAACTGCTTATTCAATAAATTCACAGGTCCCCTTTAATTCTGGAGGCTGTCTGCTACATTCATAATGTGATGTGCCATTGTGTGGTGACAAGGGACATGAAATTATGGGAAGGAAACATGGCCAGAAGATGGTAAAACCTCTCATTTTCAGAATTATAATGTTTATATGGGAGGGTTGCCATCTCAGTGGTTGCGCAGTCTGAGGCGTGGGCCTTGTGCCGCTTGGTCACTGGGACCGTGGGTTCGAATCCCACTCAAGGCATGGATGTGTGTCTGTGTCTTTCTGTGTTGTGTTGTCCTGTGTACATGTAGAGGCCTTGCGACGGGCCAATCCCTCGTCCAAGGAGTCCTACCGAATGTCTATAGATCAAAGCCAACGAAAAGTTGGGACCCGCAGTGCTCAGGCACTTGAAGAACGGGTCATCAAAGAAAGTGACACTTTGTATGTTTGCACAAATGATACTGAATGCCTATACAGACAATACCAACAGCAGTAAAAGAAATAGTTGAATAAGTAAATGTAACACCTCAGCCATCAGGGTCAGCTGGAGATGCACCAGCAGATGGATTTGACTGCAAATTCTCATGATGTTGTATGCAACAGGAGATATTACGGACTCTCAAGATCCCATCTTGTATTTCAGCAATATTGAAATGTGCCGTGTGCTGTAAATTTCCCAGTGCGAGTGCAAGACGTAATACAAAAACTGCTAGAACACTCAGTGTGTATCAAAGTGCTTGTGTGTTGTGACAGCAGTGTTCAGTGATATTTGTAGCAACTATAATAAAAGCACTGACACTTAAATCAAGATTTCTTCTGTGGCTGGTGGATGTGCTGAGGAATTTGAAGAAGGATTAATATGCAGTGGATGTAAGTAAAATTATGCATGCTTTGTTGTTTGGTTGATTTCCTTGTTTTGTGACAAGAAATGTTAACATTTTTGCATAGGAGGAAGTAAATGATGTTTGTTCAATATGTCAACACAAATGCAAACTACATTTTCTTATAAATATTTGGCAAGAACTTTAAGAATTGTGTGTTAAAATTTGTTGTGATATGTATGTTTGTCTGATAGAGTGGATTTTTATATGGTATTTTAGAAGCTAAAAAGTCGATTTTACAATTTTTTTAGCAGTAGCTGAATATACTCTGATAGTTTTACTTTTCTGTAAGTAAAACATTGTATGTATCATAACTGTTCTTAAATTTGTCCTCATTGTTTTGGTTTTATGAAAATAAGTGTTAACATTTCTTAAAAGATCTATTTGATGCTGCGGTATATATATATGTACATATATTTTTTGGCTCCACCTTATATTTCGCATATCCGACATGTTCCTAACTCTGAAATTTGTTTTAAAATATAAAAGCTTTGCTTGGAAATCAGATCCTTGTCATAAGTCGTAACGAACACGACAGGAATTATCACGGTACAACATAGTTTTGTTGAAAGCTGTATCGAGTTTATTGAGCGTGGTGATATAATTCGTCCTTCTCGACCGAATCGGCTTATATTGTGATAATTACAAAACTGGCCTGAGGGTGGTACCATTGTACAGAAACATGTTGCCGTGATAAAAATACCTGAAATTTCAGATTATTGCGTGTGTTCAAAGTCTTGATTGCCACTTGTTGTCAATAACACACTGGAATGTGTGCATAGAAAATAGTCACGTGTTGTAGTCCCTTTATTTCTCTCTTCCCGTTTCAGCGCATAATTTATGGTCAGTAGGTGATCAGTTACGTTGAAATCCTTTTTGTTCATCCACAATAATTTCGAACAGTTTAGAATTCATATGCCAAGATGAGAAACAGAATCGTTAGGAATTCGTAACGCTCGTTATTTATGAGGACAACAGAAGAGACCACCGGTCAACCAAGCCTAGATGATAATTTTCACACGCCTTCCCCTACTTCAGCTGAAGGCATCCGTGATTATGGGTAGAGTGCGTGTGCCCCTTTTGATTTATACCCTGGCATTACACCTGAGGAAAAGCACGTAAAACCTCAGTCAGGGTAGCCGAATGGTCAGACCACTCGTTATGCTGATTTGGCAGGACAGCCTCGGCTGGCCCGCTGAACATCAGTCCCCCTCGGTTGCCCTCTGTCAGCCCTCGATCGGCACAATATTGTCAGCACAGAAATATGTGTATCATAGAACACAAACTTGTATATGAAGAAAAGTACCCCGAGCTAGCAATTATGTATAACATTTTTTATAAATTACCCCTTCCATTTAAAATTAAGGAAATTTTAGAAAAGTTTACATTCATTCAGCCAACAAAAAAGTATTTGGAGATTTCCGTCTTCTGGGTTGTTGCGCTGTGTAGTCTGGTCGATGTTAACCAACGTTTTAGAGGTCATACTGCCTCCGTCATCAGGGCGATGAAAACCTCAAATCTTACAAAAAAGTATTTCTTGATGGATAGCACAAAAAAAATTATATGAGGTTTGCATGAATAGGATTTTAGCACATTTAAAAGGATTAATGATGAAAAGCTATTGTGCATGCAGTTTCCGATTACAAATTAGCCACTTCACAAGTGACTGGGAGGCACTAATGTTAGAGACAATCAAGAAAATACCCAAAACTAGTGTGCAGTAAATTTTTAGAATTGGAACAACTCCTTGGATGGCCTCAAGAGATAATTCTTGGATTTATGTATCACCTATAACAGATTAATTAACTGTTTTGTATCTAGATCAGAAGCCTAGTTAAATAGATATTAAGAACAGTGGAACAATTGTTTTCCAGTAGACTGTACCAGATTTGGTGGTATGATAATTATTAAGTCCAACACAATCCATTACGCAAATTCCACTCAAAAGGGCATCACAGAGCCCACTAAATTTGCAAGTTATGCCATGGGTGATAAATAAAAAGAAATTAGTTTACATGAGTTGCAATTGGAATCACCGATTAAGAATTACTTATCCGCAACAGCGAACTAGAATTAGCAAGCAGCAAGGTTAAGAATGTGAAAAAAATTATAGAACAAGAATAGAAAATGATGCAGTCTGCAAGAACAGATTAGTTATCAGTACTAGGGTTTGTATGAACAGCAGTGCCCAGGTTACTTTTCACTGTTTGTATTGATGTTGTTGCCAGTGTTGAACTGTTTGCTAAAATTTGAAAAACGGTTCAGTGATGATGACAATTCTGTATCCATTATTTTTAAACCCAGAATTATGATTCACCAACATATGTCTGGCAATAGTCTGCATAGACGATGTATAACTCTCAGCCTATACACTGATGTAGAAAGTAAAACGAGATCAAAAGATGATATGATGGAGATGACTCCATTGAATTTTGTAACCCTTAGGTCAACAAGGTCTAGCAGTAGGAAGAAGGTAATAATCACACACAAAGATAATATAAAATAAGATGGAAATTTTATTAGATAACCTCCTTAGTGACGAAGATAGATGTAGTATATATCATTGGATGTTCTATTTAGAGGCCCTTATATACCCACTGAGTTTTAGTAGTGTGGAATAATTTTACACTTTTCTGTATGCAATTATGTTACCACTTTATATCACAATTGGAACTTAGCTGTTTCTGTACCTCAAGGATTCCAGAGTCTTGACACACCAACCCAAGTCTGTATTACCATTTTAAGCCTGTTAATATATACTGTTAAGTAATTTGCAGAATGTATCCAAAAAGAGTGCAGCTTTTCCCCATTGACTCATATGAATCTGTCACAAAGAATCAAGTTCCACAGCGCTGTTGGAATAACAGTGTTCACTTTTCACTCTTTCTGAATTTTGAGGTTTGTCCTTAGCCCAGCTCTGTCGTTCTCCTGAAGCAAACACACCATAGATTATTGCACCCACAAGGTAGATGGCACTTGATATGTAGAACACAGTCTGCCACTCTGATGCTTCCTGTAAAAAACACAAATATTTCAATATCATTCAGAACTGGAAATGAGAAAGCAGTGATGGATCATGTCTCCCTGTGCTGCAATGTTTTGAGTAATAGTGTGCTTTACAGTTAGTTCTTCCAATGTTACAACAGTTCCTGTATCTGTGAAAATCTGATAATTTGTACAACCAGACACCTGCCTGATAACAAAGTGTTTTAAGCAGAAGATTTCAAAATGGAGTTACAGGGTTATGCTGAGGACATACCTTTAAAAGAAGTCACTTGGAAGGCAAGGTTGATGGGAAAATTAAATGATGATGCCTTATCATAATATACAATATCCTAGGAGTTGAGGTCATGGAAGTAAAAATTATTTAGTTTGCGAAGAAGTGAACTGTATTACAATATACGTTTCTAATAATATGAAGCATGAGTGATATAAGAGGTATTCTCCTAATTATTGCTTGAGTTTTACAAGAAAATAATTTCCATACTTATAAGCAACAGTAATTCATGTCATGTTATAATTTCAAGATTGTAGACACCTCCCATGTATTATTAAATGACTTGATGCATACTGCAGTTTCATTTGTCACCTACATGAACTTATTCTTCTTCTTCCTTGGTTCTACAACCCAGTTGTGGTTCTTCAGCGCCTACTTTTCAGAGGTTTCCTAGTCTTTGAATCATGCATTTGTGAGTAGTTAGTGGCAGTTTATACTCAATCCTGATTTGACTGCCAGAGCCATCTAGTAGTGAATCAGGAGAGATTTTGGTGAGGAATGGCTGCTGAATTTCGCTTATGAAACATCTTGTTTCATGCTTGTAAGGTTCTTTTACATCGTAAATCTACGATATGGGACTGCTGGCTTTACTTCCTCCCTGAAGGAAGTTGTGCTATGGATTTTTATTACCCTTAAAAATCCAACGACCTCGGTGCAGTGGCAAGCATGCTAACCACTAGTTCACTGAGGCGACACTTACATGAACTACAAGAAAACATTTTGTTAGTGCTGCTTTCTTGTCTCCTTGACTAAAATTAGCATGCTTCAGATGCAGTATGCAGCTGATAGCTCTAATCCTAACCTTCAGATTATTCTAATATCAACACAGGTATATTATGGTTTCTTCCAGTTCTGGTCCACCATTTAAATGTGAATGATATCAGTTTAAGGCATAAACCCACCTTATGTTGAACAATATAACCTGTGATGGTTGGGCTGATGATGCCAGGCAATGTGGCCACAGTATTGGACAGCCCCATCAGCACACTGGCATGTTGTGGGGCTATGTCAAGATGGTTTACACTGAAATAATAATTCTTATAAGTCACTCAAGTTGTTTATGCCTATTTGTGGAATGAAATTTAAAAATAAAATGTACATGTGAAACATACAGAGTTGCTTCATCCAGTGGGCATAGTTGGCATGTGACCAGACCCCATGATTTTAGGGATCCCTACTGTGTGACCATTGGTACTGTGCTCAGACGTATCCAAATAATTAACAAGTATCTCAGGAATAAATGTACAGAATTTTAGTCTCTGTTGTAGAAGTTTCCAATAATTATGCAAGATGTCACTAGCATTCAGAGATCCAAATAATTGTCTTATATCTTTATTATTAATAAAACTATATTGTTTGGAGATGATAAGCTATAACAGACTCATTTTTGATTTTGTGAAAATCACAGCCAGAAAGAAACTTCATTCCAATTTTCTACACTTAAATTATTGTTTATAATTTGTTTACAGAATGTCAAGTCTTCAATTGTTGATTCAGCTTGAAAGGTCATTTCACATATCTGGGGAGCTCACACATAAGATATGCACAAAGTATAATTATGTGTTGGTATATTAGGCATTACATACATCTATTTTGCATGTATAAAACAATTACTGTGTTTTGAAAAATAAATTTAAACCAAGATAATTTTTAGATTACATTTTTAATTTTCCTCCTTGCATTTGTTAAGATAAACACATTTTTTATTGGTACCAAGCTGTTCTTTGCATCATTACTTTTGTCTTCAGTTGATACAGAACAGTGCCATACCAATAGCATCGTAGTATGACATTGTATAACTAAGACACTGCCCTCAAATTTGCTGATGCCCTTTTATGTATAAAAAAGCTTTCACATATAATAATTCTTATTCCCTTCTCCACAGAAAAGTGTAGTGTTTTGTGGTTCCATGTCAGCCTTGTTCACCTGTCAAAGTGTTAATTCATTGAATCAAAATTATGCTTTGCTAATTTTCTTGCTGCTGACTCATAAACATGTCTTGTAGACACTTCTAATGCTGATGTAATAAGTCCCATATCATATTTATCCATTTTGTGGATCATTCCAAGTACATTGGACGTTACATCTTTCCATGACTTGAGAGTTTTTATGATGTTTCATAACAATCTAGTCTCTTATAGTGAACAGTTGTTTGCACTAAACTGAATCAGTGTTCTCAAGGCTCTCAGCTACTTAATTGCTCAGGTTTGTGCTGACAGAGAACTCACTTAACTTGGAATTTTGAATACCTATTCAATTATTTTTCATAGGTAGTTTTATTTGCTCAAGAATACTCTTAGAAGTTCAAAATAAAGTAATGTCAGAGCCAATATAGTAAACCAGAGATTGGGAAGTCGTGCTATGAGAATTCAAATTCATTCTTTTCTCAAATTCATAGGATAATATACCTGATTTATATTCCTTTTGTCATTTTTCAAAAGAAACACATAGTTTTTAGCAATTTACCTGAATCCAGACCAAGCAAAGGCTCCCAGTCCTACAGCAATGGTGAGACAGGTGACAACCCCTGCAGAACACCATCTGACTGATAAACGCTCCACAGTTGAACAGCTTCCTCACCTGTTGTTGCATAGTTTATACTTCAGACTCCAATTGGTCTTCATATTACTTTGCTTCACAAGTAAAAGGATGGTGAATAATAGCATTTGTGGTCAGTAGTAGACAAATTCTGTAACTAAATTTACATCAAAAGATGGAAATTTTGCTGAGACTGTAATCCTTTGTGCTTTGTAAGGGAACCATAATATAATGATGACAATTATGGCTTTTTGCTGTATTATATTAGAAGTTTTATTGAGCCAATGACAGATTGGACAGGGAAATGCCATATATTTGTACCTTTAAAAAAATACGCAAAGATAATTAATTCTGTTGTTTCTCAGTGGCCCTGTTAGTCAGTGAAACACTGGGTACATTTTCAATAGAAATTTTCAGTACTGGTTTAGCTGTTTTTATTACAGTAAAATTAGGGAGGACCTCCTACAATTTTATCCTTTTACAAATGTTACAAGTTGAAGTTTAGCATCATTAGAATCCCTTGAGAGAGATAGCTTTCAACAGCATCTTATGACAAAGGTTTAACAGCACATCACCAATGAGTGACAAGATATATGGTGAGCAAGTATACCTCAGGCAGAAGCACACACATTGCAGCTTTCATCCACTGAAGTACCCATAGTCTGAATTTAGCCATCACCGAGGCTTGTTTGATTGTTCCCATGAGAAATTGCATGGCACTTGTCAATATATTTCTGACATTCTCTCTTCTTTGTTTATTACACCAGACACAAGTGAATGACCATTTTCAGCAATAAATAGTGTTAAAATAAATTTAAGACAATGATAATAGTAGATGGATTAAATGAACAGCATGCGCGTGCACACACATACACCCTACTGAATCAATCACTCAGAGAAATGAACATTTTAGTTAAAGTAAAAATTAAATATATTTACAAACAAGACATATAGGTTTTTATTTAACAGATAGACTTCATTATATTGCACTGATTTTTTTTAACCACATCTGATTAAATAATTCTAGTTAGATGCCCCACTAGGTGTAATTTAATTAAAAGGAGCACAATTACAGTTTTTAAGATTTTTTATATCTGCTCTTTAGTCTACATAAATGAACTCAATAGATTTTCATTGAGAGTCTGAGTAATGTTGGCTGACACATTCCAGTTCTGGTTAAAATCAAATAATAATAGGCATTTTACATATTGGTAAATCTCTGCATACTGTGTATATGGATGACTTTTGTCCTGCTCCCAAGGTCACTGATCCCAGGTTCAAGATCATTAGGTACGGCACTAATTAATTTTACATAATCCAGTTTTGTTGGGGCAGAACCAATGAAGATGGGACTAGGACCTGTGACCTCAGATATATGACCAGTTATCTTGCACTTAGGACCAATGACTTTGAACCTAGGACTGATGATGTTGGACTCTGGACCACTGGCCAGTATGTTATCAGATAAAAGGATTCTCATTAGCAATCTTTTGTGGGTGACTTAGATTATATTATATTTGACAAAAATATTAATTAGCTAGACACAAGTTCATGAGCATTTATGTTTCTGTGCATGGAAATGTCAATTAAATCATATGAGGGGATCTTGGAGTGAATCCCCAACCAGATCGGTGTCACACACCTCACTCATCGTAACATTTCAACAGACAATATCTGCCTCCAATAACAACATGTGCTCCTGAGAAGAGAATATTATCAAATTGAAAATCAAGACACAGCAACAAAGAAAATGCACCAGAATTGTTACCTGTGTTAAATGGGAAATATGTATTTAACCTGTTCCCAGATTAATTTTTTTCTGAAAACATGATCTGATCCAAAAAATTACATTCTTTTATTTCACATTTGGAATATACCCACAAAAATGAAAGTGCTGTATGTGTTTTGATGAAAATTATTTAATCGTATTGTGCTAACTCTTGTTTATGTAATTATAATGATTATTATCCAAAGTCATATCAGGTCACTTTTTATTGTAGGATCACTTTCCGCTGTTTGTAAGAATTATCTTCTGCAAAATCACAGCACACAAATGACACTGCAGCTAGCATGGGAACGTCTGACACATGCTACAGAAACATGAAAGTCCTATTCATGTGCAGTCTGCATAAAAATATGTAAATTCACGTGGCTTATGAAAGCACAGGAGTTTGTAATTTACTGACACATAGAGTCTGATATGCACATTTTCTTCACAAATAAGATTAACAAATTAATTGGATGGAAGAAAAAAAATGTTGTCTGAAGTTAAATTGGGTTAATATTTTTTTGTAAAAATTATCAACTTAAGAAATCTTAGGTTAATCAAGAAAGTGGTTAAAGAAAAGAAATTATTTGTAGTGTTTAAATAAGTGTTTGTTAGTATAAAGCAACTGAAGGTATTTCACCTATCATACTGAAAGATATCGATTACATAGCATATAATAATATGATCAGGGCTTCTCAAGAACATTTACTGGTATTGGAAACCATGGGGAAAACAAGCCTGCAAACATTACAAGTCTTTGTTGGGACAGATTCTGAAGGATTAATCCTTGTATTAATACATTGAAGGGAATACTGTAACATTTATAAATAACTAATTGTTTTGTATTTCATCTGAAGGAACCCAACATGTAGTTGCAAATAACATAAGAATACATTAATTCAGTGTGGTAGAGGTGAAGTGTAGATATTTGACCTTTTATTATGCTCACATGTCAGTTATGTATTAAGACTAATTTTGGTTAAGTGATTATATGCCAGTGGATTAATTACAAGAGTGTCCATGAAAGTAAATTTGGCAGCTATGTTTTTAATTATTAAGTTTCACTCCATTACCACAAATGGATAAAACAAATCATTACCTTTCTATAATCTATAAACTGATAATTGTAATACATGGTAATTATTTTGATTTCACTACTGGATCATTTTTGGATAACAGATAGCTTTCTATCTTTAAGCTAGTCTCAGAAAAGTCACATACCTGAGTGATGGTGAGAATTCCCTTAGAGTGTAACCAGTCTGCCAGATGACCTGCAAATTGCAGCACTATCGCCATTACCAAGTATGGCAATGCAGACATGACACCAGTCTTCTCCAGCTCAAATTTCAGAGTATCTGCACATAAAATGCATTTTAAAACAAGAACACTCTATTCCTCATGCCTGACATTTTAGAATTAATTTCTGCTTATATATCTGTTTTCCAAGACTTTACTACTTAATTCAAATTAATCTCTGACTTTAAATGTTTTTGAAAATAAGAAACTCTCAGTTGTAATATTCATAATTGGCTGAAAGCCACTGCTAAGATTTCAGTGAAAGCAATTAAGGATCACTACAGTAATTAAAATCTTTAGCAGAAAAATTAATTATGTCTGGTAGAAAAAAGTAAATCCTTTTGAGAAAACTGAAAAATATCAGAGGAAAACTTGTGGAGGTTACTTTTCTTTAACACTTACTGGTGATGTGTCATGGCAAGCCCACTGTCCAAACAGTTGTTTATTGCAGTAGCATATCTCTAAACCTTTAATCTCCATGTTTAGTGAGCACCCTTACAGTACTGGATTTTAAATTCTCTATTTCTGTACAATAAAGGTTCAATATTCTGATTTAAATTGGGGTGTCAGCCAAGTATAATAATTTAATAAATTATATTTTTCTTCAGAAATAGTAATAATATTCTTCAATGTACACTTCCAATTCCTGAATATTGAGAAAATATTTTAAAATGTTATGCCTTTGCCAAGTTGATATTCTCCAACTGAATTATTAACTCTTACAATCTGTCATCATACCAGACTTCACATACCTTCCTACAATGGCTCATCTATTTAAGGTATGGCAGTGACAATGTAAAATATGAGAATCCTTAATTTATCTATTACAACTATTTCTCTAATTTGTAAATGTATCAAAACATAGGTCTTTATCTACTGATAGTCAGTATGGACAAATTAATGGAGAAGAATGATTTCTTCTGGGTTATTGCGCCTTTTAGTCTGGTAGATTGCCACCATTTCAGAGGTCACACTGCCTCCGCCATCACTGCCCTGATAACAGAGGCAGTATGATCTCTGAAATATGGGTGGATATCTACCAGACTACACGGTGCAACAACCCAGAAGACAGCAATCTTCAGACTCATTGCTGTTAAAACCTCAAATCCTACATAAATTAAAGGAGATCTATTACCTTTCATGAAGGTTGGCAATTGAGTAAGAAGTGTATAGAAGCCCCAGTTCTCACTGAAGTGTGCCATCACAATGGACCACACAGGAGGTGATGTCAGGAACTTGCCCCATGGGTGCACTACATCCTGAAAACATAAAAACCATGATTCACCAGAACAGTGGCTTCAAAATTCATGACTAGTGCCTTTGCCAAGGTTGCAAAGCAGTATCAGAAGAATTCCTTTCTTTAGTACTAATAAATGAGCCTTAAAAATTGTCCTGTCAGTAGCAAATTTAGAATCATTCTATATTAAGGTTTGTAGTAATATTATAACACTATACTTGTATTTTGAAGTATTTCCTGATAATACAAAATTAGTCTTCTATTAAATTACTAGCATAGTATGACCCATTAGAGTTTATGGGAATGAAACTTTCTTGTGTGAAATAGTAGTACAATTTATTACAGCATTATCTCTGAAAATTCAATTGAAAGTACAAAATTTATCAAATTCTTTAAAAAAAGTAAATTAAATGTGAAAATATCTTCATGAATGAAGTTAGATTCCTGCCAAATGCACCAACACAAAACCAACTGCCTGATTACAGACTCTGCCAGACTCCCACCATAGGCACCACCATAACCTCATTCACATTACTTGTTACCAGAGCTGCCAACATCAGAACTTAATTTTAATTTTTTCTGCATTGCACACAGATAGTGTACTTGCATCTGATACAAAATCAAATTGCACTGTCTGGGCTACCACTAAAATATTTAGAATTTCTTTAGTTGGGTCTACATTCAATTTGAAGTCATTAGTTTCCTTCCATATATCAAAAATTCTAATTATTTCCTTCTTTTATACAAAAAACATATACTAATTAGTGATTTTAATAGACATGGGATGCCTGAAATGTGTTACTCTAAACTGTGTTAGAGAATGGAAGATAAAAGAACAATATTTATCATTTCGTGCCTAGTTCACAAAGAACTGCAACTACTGAATTTTTAATATGACCAATGAATGTCTGAAATAAAAGATAAAGTAGGCATGTAAGTGTTACAAAGCAAAATGTTAATAATGTTTAGCCATGTACCTTAACAGCATGCATAACAAATTACCTTAGATAAAATGTTACCCATTGAATCTTGAATATATTTTAATTCTTGAGGAGAGATTTTGGGGTCCTCTTCAGGTCCACTCTTCACAACAATGCACCAGATGGAAAACCAAATCAGACCAACCACTCCTGTAAAGAAATGTTTCACAAACACCACGTGATGTTTAAAGAGTCAATTCTCATCCCACAAATAAGAAATAAGAAAAAGTATATGAAATACAAGTCATCCACAAATAACCATAGTCACACCAAAATATATTTGAAATTTGACAATTAATTCAAGAATTCAGACAACTGTCATTCATGCTGTGATTACAGATAGTTAATTGTGAAGCAATGAGTGATAGTGTTTTTGTTCAACCATAGTAATTAACAGTTTTTAGATGGTGCTGAAATTTGATGTTTTCCTATTAACTAGCTCTTGTTTGTTTTCTATAAAAATTTACTATATGCCAATTACAATGCATGCTATTATAGTATCATTACATACTTTATGAATGAAACTTACATAATGTAGAATCACAGGTATAGGTAATTATTCTTACCAAACACGTAGAAGACAGAAGGCCACCCAAAATGTTCTGCTAAGTATCCTGAGACTGGTAGGGACACCACTGTGCCTATGTAACTTCCAGAGAATGCCAGTGTAGCCAGTCGACTGCGTTCTAGTGGTGGTGCCCATCTTGCCCATACTGCATGGATACAAGGATATGTAACACCCTAGAAGACAAAAATATGCAAAGGCAATTTTCAAGTACAATTACCCTAAAAAACATTTCTTGAGATAGCCTATTGTATGGAACCTTTGTGTTAGTATCTAGCCACTTAAATTATAATTTAAGTGCTGGAATTTATAGAAACACTTACAGCATTATAATACAGTCCTAGAATTTGGAAATACTTAACGAACTCCATGGAGCAGAGCCCTTCTTGAGAAGCTAGTTTAACTAGTCAAGGAATTCCCCACTTTTGATGGAAGATTCAATATAATATTAAGAAGTGCCCACCACTGATCCTAATCCTGAGCCAGATCAATCCAGTGTCCACACCCTTCCCAACAATCATAATACTACCGTGCTATCTGCATCTAAGCCTCATAAGCAGTATCTTCACATTAAGTTTTAGACTAATATTTTGAATGAATTTGCTGTCTCCCTGTTGCATGTTAGTTGTTGCACACGTCTCTTCCTCCACTGCCTGATGATTCTAAAAATATGTAATAAGTATAAATTATTAAGCTCTACATTATGTAATTTTCTCTGTCCTGTGGCTATTTATTCTTTGTCTATAGCACTCTTATCTCAAATATCATTAATCTGTGCTATTTGATTGGAGAGGGAAACCCAGTTCCCCAAATTTAACATATTCTTATCTTCATCTTGAACATAATTCAATTCTTTGCTGTCACTCTTATGTAATTGAATGTTTCTGCATTCTTATGCTTTTATTAAATCGTTAAAATAAACCAACACAACATATGTTCATGCTCTGTATTGCCGTGTCCTATACTGGTTACATGAATCATCAGTTGAAAGTTACCAGAATCTTAATGACTTTACTTTCAGTCTCCATTTAATAACTGGATGCTATTTGAAATCCTGCAATTACTTGCAATTTCTATGCTAGTAACTGGCTTCAGTTTAATTCCAATCTACTAATTTATAACAGACATTAAATTCCACACTTAATTGTTTTATCTGTAATTTTGTTGAGCCTGTACTCCTCACAATATATTTTTAGGGTGATTAAATTGAGGTATATGAGGTGGATGGGGAATGCAGCATGCATGGAGGAGGGCGGGGGTGTTTACAGGGTTTTGGTTGGGTAGCCTGAAGGGAGGAGACTGCTGAGAAGACCTAAGCATACGTGGGAGGATAACATTAAGATGGACATCACGGAGATGGGAATCGATGGAGCGAACTGAATGCAGCTAGCTCAGGTTAGAGTCTGGGTGGTGGGCTTTTGTGAGCATGGTGATGACCTTGGGGTTCCATAAATAAAATGAGGTGTTCTTTGATAAGCTGAGTATACAATCGACTTTTTGAAGAATATGTAATTTTGTTAGCAGTTAGTGTGGCTCACCTCAAAGAGTCCTTCCACTATTCTGATAGTCAACAGCAGATAGACACTGACATTAGTGAGAGAAGGTGTCAGCAAAGTGAGGAATGCTGTAACAGCTATTCCTATACCATACACCCTACTACCTCCAACCCGAGCAGCCAGCCATCCACCTGGAATTTGTGTTATAATGTAGCCATAGAAGAATGAACTGAGGAGCAGACCCTTCATTTTGGAATCCCAGTCAAAATCCCTGGTCTGCAAATCAAATAGAAATTTAACATTTGAAAATGTAGAGATATTCTTACAAAATAAAACAAAAAAGTTTATATTATTTATTTATACCATGAAATGCTTGTAGAAGAATAATCCAAAAACACGCAGAGTTGTAAGCATTAAACACTGGTAGTTGTATCAAATAAAAAATAAGCATATGCATTGTTTCAGTAGAGTTTATTCTGTGAAAAATCCAGGTGAAGAATGGATAAACCCTTTCTGTTTACTTTGATGATGTCTGCCCTGTGTATACCATACATGGTGTAATGAATGCCTGAAGTTATCTAAAGTGACCAACAGGAATGTAGATGGGTGGCACAGAGAGAGAGAGAGAGAGAGAGAGGAAAATACAAATTGCAATTTTGCCATGCTTTAGCACACTCATTAGCAGCATGCTACTGTGCTCTGGCAAAATCATGGAAAGGCATGCCGGGATCCATTTCATGCTTGAAGTAACGATGTTATGTGCCAAGTACTGGAGCAAGAACATAGCAAGTGCAGGAACTTCCAAAACTTAACTGCCGTTATTTGTGTCAGTCAGTATACATCTACAATCGTTTTGTCACTAGGTGACCAGACAATAGTATTCGTAATGTGATCAACTTGATATTTACGGATACATGACCAGTAAAAGTATACAAAAGTGTTATCATAGCCTTTCATTTAAAAAAAATTAATTTAATGATAAGTAAGAATAATTATGACCTTACTTGATCGATGGCAAAATCCTGACTGATAATGGCGATCCAAATTGGAGAAATTTCTAAACTAGGCTGGCTGCTGGGATTTGTTAGGCTTGCCATTATGGGCCGCTTCTTTGTATTTCCTGTATCTGCTATTACTCTCACCTTCCAAATTCCTGGCTTTATCTTAACTTGTCCTATGACCCTACTCATAGGTATGCTGGGCCAGTTTTGATCATCACTAGCTATCACTATTAGTATTGAACACACTGGTTTAATTTTGATATCCCTGATCACAGCAAGCTTAGCAGAATTTGAACCACTTATTTAACTGGTTAACTGACAGGGAAAGGGTTTTATCAGCCATAAATCAGACCCCGTACATTGGACAGATTGGGTTATGGCGAACCTAACAGAACTTGTCATAACTTGTGCCACTTACTCATTTGGTTCACTGACACTGTGAGAATGAAAGCATCCATGAAGACATTCTTTATTTTAAATCAGGAGAATGTAGACAAAAATAAATGTATTTTACATAGTTCCTAACTTATACATGATGTCTTTTAGCAGGCTGAAATACCATGTGTTTTACATCAATAAAAATAATTTGACTAAACCTGTTGTTACAAAGATATGTAAATTGATGTGATAAATATAAATATGCTGACTCACGATAATGGTGGTGCCATTGTTCATTGTTATGTTCCTGTTAGCTGTCATCGAAACAATGGCAACACTGAAGTTAACACGAAGAGCATACACATTGAAGAAGCCAAGAAAGGCAAGCAATGCAACCACATATCGCCTCCTGTGCCAGAACTGCCATGCTGGGCCCAGACCATCGCCATCGCTATCACCATCACCACTGTAATGGAACAGAAATCTATATGGGATTTGAGGTTTTCGCAGCGATGAGACAGAAGATTTCTGTCTTCTGGGTTGTTGTGACATGTAGTCTGGTAGATGTCCACCAGAAATCTGTTTGCACACTGCTAATTGCTTTGAAGCGAGGCTGTGATACAGTATAATAACTGGCTATGAAGTAGATTGCTTGTGTTCAATTAATTTAAAGATTTGGGAAGCTATTCGTATATCATCATCACATCCAAAACAGCTTGAGTATTGACCCAGCCTAACAGCCAATGGACACAGTGACTGTTTTGTCAGGAGTACAGACAACCACAGTGAAGATAACCATGGACATTACTATATAAAACACCCTCTTAACTATGTCCTGCATTATTTAAACAAGTCTATCCACTCGTACACACTCTGTTGAGATAATGCATTGACCCCATATCGAGCATAAATAAATGTGTGTGAATCTCAGCCCCATTAACATTTTCTGCCCACAAAAGAACTATGTCCCTCTGTTCTTCATTGCTGCAGAATGAAAGCGGTGCAGCCATTTTCCCCGCTTCACTGCAGCTTATTCACCACAGATGATAACCCTTCACTACGTCCGATTTTGCATTGGACAGCGTATATTGGCTTATCATCCCGTAGGGTCAATGCTGCGAAGTGCCATAATGCTGTCTTATACCTTATGCAGACATGAATAATACTGTAGTAATTCTTGAATCACCTTCAGAGATGATGGAACATTATATCCTTGAAATTTATCCTCTGTAACTGAAGCATTTTCAGACCTGTGTTCACTGGACTTTACTAACTCATACTGATGTCCTGGAATCCCCTCCCCCCACTATAATGTATAGCATATAATTCATAAACATTCTGTATATAAAATCTCTGTATCCCACTATCTGACAATCTGTACACATTTATGTCATGAATGTTTGTATAATCAGAGAAGAATTTGAAGGGTTTCATGGGCAAGACATAAATGGGTTTCAGAAGGACTCTGCCAATTTCCCTTTCTCTGATGTCCATCTTCAGTACCGCAGGTCACCATCCTAGCAATAATTAATTCTGTAATACCTACATACAATGCATGAAATGACTTACACAGTAGTATATTTCAACCCTATAACCATTTTATGTTTGTGGATAAAGGTTCTATATTTAACTCTCAATACATCAGTCACCATCACCCTAAAATATTTTGCCATAAATTGAGCTTTAACAGTGGAAACGCATCGGAAAATATCTGGTTTCAATCCCAGCTTCCATGGCCTTAATCAGTCCCTTCACCAAAATAACAAGGAAGTAGTCTAAATAGGTCAGGAGAACTTTGTCTTATATTCTGTCTTGATTTATCATTTAAAATAATCTTATAATTATTCTCTACACTTGTACTCACAAAGTACTCATTTTAAATTTCATCTGCATTATTGGCTGTCATAACTGAGGGTTTTTTTCACAGTCCCTCCAGGTCTATGCCAGGATGGTATCTTCAGAATTCTTTTCTATTCACCATTCTTGTGCATCTTTATTCAATATGTTATAACCAGGGCTGTTCACAAATAGGGTGAATAAATAACTTAAAAAGCAATTTACAGCTGTTATTAAAGTGATTGACTTACTTAACTATCTTGGATTAATCCCTGACAGGAGTAAGAATTTTTCTGTTTGCCCTTACAACCACAAACTTTCGGGAGCAATGAAATGTTGGGCTATTTCAATGAAGCTGATCATTCAGCAATATCCACCTACAAAATCCAGAATTCACCTTCATGTATATAGGAAGTGACAGGTTTGTTTCTCAAGGCTTAATCCTTGAAGTTCTCAGGTGTGGTTCGACAGCAACTTGATTCTCTTCACTGTCATGTTCCTGATTTCATGAACTTTTATAAAGCGCTGACAACTACGTGTTTCACCTGATTTATCATTTACTTAATTACTATATTTCCCATTATCTTTGTACTGTATCTGTAATTGGCCTTCTGGCTGTTGATACAGCACACCAACAATAAATAATTTAATTTAATTAGTTTTTATCTGGCTGTGAGAATAAACCAGTTATTTTCATAAGTGTCACTAGAGGTTAACCTAGGTAATAATGATGGATTATGTTATGTTTTCATATAGATATCAACTAACTAACTGGCTTATGGAACCCAAAGGTTCATAACCGAATTAACCTAAGCCCTCCACCGGACCCTGTCCTGGGCCAACAAAATCCAGTTTCCTTCAACTCCTATCTCCCATAGATCCCGCCTGACATTATCCTCCCATCTACGTCTAGGTCTCCCCAGCGGTCTCTTCCCCTCAGGCTTCCCAACCAATACCTGGTGCACACCTCTTGTCCCATCCTTGCAAGCCACATGACCCTCCCATCTCATTCTTCTCAATTTAATCACCCTGACAATACTGGGGGAGGAGTACAGACTTTTAAGCTCATCATTATGCAGTTTTCTCCACGCCCCATCGTCTCTCAGGTCAGAATTAAAATAAGACATTCCCACAAATATAGTTAGGTCTTTCAAAATGAGGGCCTTAAAATTAACATAATAATACTTATGTATCGGAAATATTATGTACTGAATTTTATCAGAATGTGTCAAATTCCATTTATCACTCAAAATTCGTTAATGCTAATGAATATTACACATAATGTAATTCATTCCTAACACATGGCGTGTATCACACATCATCAAAGTAGGCTTGTGTCAAATATGTACCAGTATATAAAAGCTCATTTATTTTAACATAAAGTAAAGGTAAACATAGTAATAATTGTGGGCTGTAATGTAACCATTCATGAAGTGTTATCACAGCATGTTAAAGGAATTTCAAAGTAGACCTGAAGAAGTAAAGTGGCTCTGAAAGTTTAATAAAATTAAGACAAAATAAAAAATTGATTCCTGACACCTGAAATAATAAATACATTAGAAATTACTTTAGCGTGTTCTTAAAGATATTTTCTATAAAGGTGTATATATGAAAGACATACCCAGTTGCAAGATGTTCTTCCCCACGCCGTGTTTTTACTGGCGGTGTCATGTGTTGAGAAGGTAGTGAACTGACAGACATACCTGTAATGAACGAAACCTGTTGGAAGAATTTGTATATGTTAGGATATCATCATATGATCAGGAATGGCCACTTAAATACAGATAGGATGGTGTTGGCACGACCAAAGTCATATGAAATGCTTTCCATAATATTTCTTCTTACTTATTATTATTATTTACTGCACCTGGGTTTGCACCCGGTGGCAGTGGTCCGTACACTACACAATTACAACAAAACACAATAAAAAGAAGTACACTCCATAGAACACCCTACACACATAACTAGAACATCCATCCTTACAAAAAAATCCACACCTTACGCGGACACACATACACACAATACAAAAACACGCATCCATTAAGTTATCTCAATACTTTAGAGTAACCTCAAATATAAAATCAGACCTCAGTACATGATACTTGTTATTTATCACTTATTACGAGTCCTTTGTAGAAAGTGCACAAAATGAATTCGTAGTGCATTTTAATGTCATATTACTACATAGATTTATGAGCCGGGATAGCTCAGTCAGTGTAGTGACTAGCTACGGGCTGGACGGCCGGGGTTCGATACCCGACGGGGGGCGAAGGATTTTTCCTCTAGCCTCTGCGTCCAGACAGGCTCTGGGGCCCACCCAGCCTCCTCTACAATGGGTACCGGGGGTCCTTTCCCGGGGGTAAAGCCGGCCGGGGCGTGACGCTGACCACTCACCCCCATCTAGTGCCGGGGTCAAGGAAGAGAGGAGCTATACCTCCACTCATCCCAAACGCCTACATGGCGTATAGTGGGACAAACTTTACTTTACTTTATTACTATACAGATACAAATCTTACTGGAGATCTACACTAAAAGAATAGTTGTAATTTTATTTTGATCCACATCAGGCCGCTATAACCCATGGAGCAGAGTCTTTGAGAAGCTAGCAAAGAATTTCTCAGCATTTTATAATTCGCACAGGTTCATTATCATATTTACAAAAGCTTACAAACGGTGCCTATCATGAGCCAAATAAATCCAATATACAGCTCCCCACCTTTTTTCCTTAAGATACATTTAATATGTTCCAATCTGTGCCTAGGTCTTTTGAGAGGTATTTTCAGTTTTTTCAACCAAATTTTTATATGCAGTCTCATCTCCCCGTGCATTTCACATTTCCTGCCAACCTCATCCACTTTGATTCTATCATCCGTTGATTGGTACGCAAATTAAGAAAATCAAAAGATAATATTTACATAAATAAGTTTCCCTGAACGCATTTGGTCAGTGGTACATTTAATGTGTTAAATTAGAATTAGTGGTACGCCAGTGAAAAAGGTGGGAACCCCTGGTTTAGAGTATTGGTTATGTTATCACGCAAAAATTAATATAATTAACATATACCAGAAGCTGAAGTATCCCAGTCATTTGTAATTCTCTTTGATTTTTGCACCTTCCTAATGGCATATTCTACAATAAAGTTGAAAAGCAACTCTTTCTTCCAGACATTTATGAATATGAAATTTATTATACAAATAATTACCTATGTATAATTTGAACATTATTTAATTCGAAGTTGAATTGGTATCCTGAATTCAGTGAGAATTTTACACAACACTTTCTGCTAAATGAATCATAGGCCATTTTTATCCTGTATGCAGCTGATGTATTTTCATTACAATGTAACAAATGCAAAATATCTGATCAGTATATCTGTTGTCGTTCGCTAGGGCCATCTAGCAGAGAATCAGGAAATGTCCGCTGAATTTTGCTTACGAAAGGTTCTTTTAGATGCCGTAAATCTACGACATGGGACCGCCGGCTTTATTTCCCCTCCGAAGGAAGTTGTGCTACGGGTTTTTATCACCCTTAAAAATCCATTGACCTCGGCCGGGTTTGAACCCACGAACCTTGGGTCCAGTGGCAAGCTAACAATAAGTCCACCGAGGGCGACTTGTATGCAACGTATTAAGCAAATAACCTCTGAACTGATAAGTGCTTTTGATACATTCTAGAGGTTTGCAACAATGACTGTTTTATTAGATTAGATTATAATTCAAAGGGAAATAAATTTAAAAATTTATACATTGCATTTTTAAGTAATCTTGAGTTGCTTTAAATGAAAATATTTGCAACTTGAGAAATTGCATTAACGTTTTTGTCGTCTGTGGCCTGTGCTTAATTTCTGAAACAGAAAAACGAAACATTCCTGTGTTTGTTTCTTCCAGAGGAACATTATTCTTTTCACAGTACACATCTTCCTATGATACTCCGCTGTACATATCATTCTTACTACACGTTGCTGTGTAAGTTTTTTGGTCTCTTATCTATCGATAATTAATTTTCAAAATTAACAAAAGTCGATAATTATCCCGGGATCATCTCTCCAAGACGAATGTCTTTTTTTCAATTTGTCTTTCTTTTCTATGCTATGTGAACATCCCTGAGCTTGATATTCGAAAGAGATAAAAAATAATAATGTCCTGCTGTCTCTAAAGAAATATGTATATATATATCGAAATTTTAAAATAGCTATATTTTTCCCCAGGCTGGCTGTACAACAGAATTTTTTTCAATTGTATACGATGCTCCATTAAAAACTTTTAAGCACCCCTGTCTAATAAACAAAATAGAATAAGTCAGTAATTTTCCGGGATTTTCTCTTCAACAGAAACATCTTTTATATTTACCACTTTTTCTATGATTTGGCATCTGGCAGAAACGCTCCGTCGTATAAGTTTTTCGAGACACTATTCAAAAACTTTCGAAAAATAACTCTTTTGTATTTACAATTTTTAAACGACGTGTCGTATATATTTTTGAATACCCCTGTTCCCAATTTCCGAAATTGAAAATGGTCTATAAATTTCCCACTGTTTTTTCTCCAAAAGGAGTTTTTTATTTGCTTTTTCTCTGCGACGGGTGGAACGGACGGATGGGCGTTTGGCTGTGAGTATGTTTAGGGGAGCGGTGGCAAATTTTTAAAAGGCGGACAGTAGGGAACGCTCTGGGTTTATGATGCAAAACTTACTTCCCTTTTTCCATCATAGTTTACTGAGATAGCAGTGATCAAATGCCTTGTGTCGGACGCAACATAGACGAGAACCTTTAAAAGAATTCGTATTTTCAAGGAAATAAATATCATTTTTTAGAGCACTTGTGCTATAAAATATTTTGGTATGGAACTATTACGCAGAATATCCTGTAAAACGCCGTACTTGATGAATAAGGCCATATGAAATCGAGAAGAATTTAATGAAATGTTAACTACACAATCACCAATTTTTGTAATTTTTATTTTATAGGTTAATATCCATTAAGTAAAATTTTCCTAGTATTTGAAATTTTATTGTGAATAAATCTCTAGATATTAATATAACGTGTCTTCTCGGTTTTATCGCCGTGTATTCCGTCAGAAGTTTCCCCCATCATCAGGGCGATAGACCACTCACGCGTTCAACGCTCTGATGATGATGACAGTAACAACCTCTGAAATTTTGGTGAGGACCTCAGATCCCACCTTAGATGCTATTTAAAGAAGTAGGAGTGTTTAGGATGTTGCAGGCCATTTTATTATTACAACTATGTAAATATCGTCATTATTTAAGTCATAAATTCAAAATTTGGTGTCCACCAGTGGTTTATTTCGGCTAATAAAGTGGTGCGAAGTGTGTACATATATCTTCAATATTTTTGGAGTTGTGACCTACGTACCAGCCTTTATTTTTAATGTAAAAAGCGTTGCGGGATTTTCATTGGAGAGTTGGAACTTATACCAATTATAAAATATGTAATCTATTAGGGACAAATGGATTGCCAAGAAACTAAAATATGAATTTATGCACCAGCATCATGCTAATACCGGGTCGACAATTTATGAGGCTGCGGTCGTGCTTGGATTGCGTGGTCGGCCGGCGCTCTGTTGATGTGGGCGGAACTTGTGCGCGTTCTTCCGGTGGGTGACCGGCGAATCAGTTTCAGTACCGCTAGTAACAGCGAACTACGAATATTTCTCATCACTAATACATGTTATTATATTAATTGTTCTTACCTTAAATCACAAAAGATGTTCAAAGTGACTTCCTTGTGCTTCCAGGCAAGCTTTACATCTCGTTAACATGTTTCGAAATACTCGACGAAGCTCTTCTGGGGAAATTGCCGAAATCAATTGTCGCATATTTTCTTTAAGTGCTTCTGCAGTGTGCGGATAAATTGTGATCGTTATATAAATTTAATACTTAGACCATTTTTCCAAGAAATTGCCGATGAAGATAAGACTTAACGGTTTCTTCATGCAAGACAGTGCTACAGCTCACACAGCTGATCGGTCGATGTTAGCATTAAGAGAATTGTTTGGTGAACAAGTTATCGATCAGTGGCCCCCGCGTTCCCTAGACTTAAACCCGTGCGATTTTTACCTGTGGGGCATGCTGAAGAACAAAGTTTATGTAAACAATCCGCCTCATAAATTGTAGACCCGGTACTTTTGAGTGCGTTTTGGAGAATGTAAGCAGTTGTTTTTGTGCGAGCGCGTGTTTATGAAATACATCAAAAATTTATGTTATTGGTTGCTTAAAATTTTATGTTTCACAGATGCTCAAATTGTCGAGAACAGAGACAACCGAAAACTGCTGTTGAAAAGTTATTTCAGGCTAAGAACTTTGTTGTGGAAGACAGTATAATTTACAAGCAATGGGTTTATCATAAGCTTCATATCTGAAGATGTTGAAAGAAAACATTCTTATAGACGTTGAAATTGTTACTTTGAAGAATTATTTAGCTTTATGTCAAGATATCATACAAGAGTTCCACTGTTAAACTGACCAGGCTGCTTTCCACCCTTCAGTAATCGTAAAAGAAGAGTGTTTTTGTGTGTCATTATTAACTGTCTTGAGCATACAGCAACTATGGTCCAGTATTTCATAAGTGGCATTAAACATCACTTGGAAAAGTCGTTCATCGACCATATGGAAAGATTCTACTAAAAGTACGATGCTCCCACCTGAGTCGCGGACGCCCTTTTATCAAAATGGCGGGAAGCCTCCGGAGTACTGTCTGCTAACCGGCAAGTATTTCAAGAATGGCCCATTGCTGCTCTCGAATCGCCATCAGAAATTTCAAGCTAGCCTGAAAGTCCGACTTCACATCCTACTGAAACATTACAAGATTAAATCTTTTAGAAGGGTTCGTCACCAGGTAATTCGACAGAGTCATTCATTATTCGTCCAGAATAACTTTCCCCTAACTTCTTCTTCTCAAGCTCTACAGTACAATGTTCCTGTTTCACCCACCTTATAAGTCTGTAAACCATGTGGATAAAGGTAAGAAAAACGCTCCGTGTGCTTTGTTACTGGATCGCCATGTACAACCAAAATTAAAATTTCGCTGAGGAAAGGAAGACAAAATACGGGAGCGAAATAAAAATCTACCGAAATTGTAAACCGTTCTGCTTGCAGCAAAGAACCACAGAACGTTAGGAAGGAAGACACGCCTCCCCAAGTCAAAAGACTGTTTTCCGATGTCTGCCCCATTAATTATGTAACATGTGGGCCTATGTACTGTGCCGCATAGTTTTCGGAACAGGTTTCAGGAGAAGACTGGTTCACGTGTTTTGTCTAATAGATGTCTCTGTAGCTCACTAGTGTGCTTCATACTTCATCTGGTTCAACGATTCTGTTTTTAATATGTTATCTCTTGTCTCATAATACTCCCATATTGTAGGGTTAAGATGGACAATCACATATTGTAAAGAAATTAATGTTTGATGCCATATGGTAAATAAGAAGTAATATTTTTTGAGAATGTTACCATTTCAACTGTCCTCACATTTCAGCAGTCAGTTATGTTTTATGTCTTATAAATAACAATCTGCATTTACTGTGTTTCTTCAAGGCTGTATTATTATCATTATTTTTTGGACTTTTTTTATTGTCTGAGGAAGTCCTGTACTTGATATTGGCCGACAAGACGTTTCGAGAATTAGATCTACTCCCGTCTTCAGGTTGGTTGACTGTCATACTGACAGATATGTTATATTATTATTATTATTATTAGTGGTGGCAGCGCCGCTGTTGTCTCCACTGGTTTAGTTACTAAAATATTAGCATATCATTAAACAGATTTGCATGTATCAATCGGTAATTTTTTTCTAATTTGGTGAAGCGACACGTTTTGATAACATAAACAACCACCTTTGGCATTAGAGACGAATATAATGAAATCATCGTTAATTTATTTCTGTCTGGAATGTGATTAATTTAAAATCCGAATCACTCTGAATTACTCCAGTTTTACCAATACAAAGTATTACATGTATTTCTCTGCTTTGCATTGTTATCTCTGATTTGTAAATAATTGTGCACGACGATTTGAAACTCTCGCGGCGACTACACATGGTTACGCGAAGCGACCGCATCGTCTAACCAAATGACGCGGCTGATTACCCGAGAAGATTTTATTTGTAATAGTTTCTTATTCTTATACGTAGGCTATTTAAATATCCCGATGGTTAACGTTGCAGTTTAACGTTTACCGTTTAGTGAATGATATACCCAGAAAATAAAACAAGAAATTGATATTTGATTCCAACATGTTGTAGTTTTCTAGGCAATAACGTAAGGTCTTCTGTGTGTGCTCAGAATTACAGAGTACACAGTGGAAAAGTGAACTTTTTTACCTTTCCTTCACTCATTTCTACCCTTTTTAGTTTAGAGGAATGTGAGAAATATCCGTGATACGTATTGCGAAAATTCAACGTTTCCTTCACCTGCATTAAATGAACATTACTTTTAAAACCTTCTAACTGTAACACTTGTAAAACAATATTTTGCCACCTGGCTTAGGCTAAGTCTCTGTAAATGCAAAATACAAACTAATAATCACATACCACATTCTACTTAACCGTAGTGGAGTCACCATATAGAAACCCAAGATTTAAGAGCTCACCTACTTTCTTCCGCCCAGCCACTTCCTTACACTAACGTGTGTATGTTTAATGCTCACCGCTTGATCGAGTTTCCATTGAGTTCACAGCGCACACAACAGTGCGCAGTTCGTCATATGTAGGCTACTGGATATCACTTTCATTTTCTGACTGGCTACATCAGTTTCTCAGATAGAATGTATCTGCAAATTCAAGATCGACCAGAAAAACTGTGACGTTTGGCAAAATTTCTTGACAACGGAAGGATGAAATGCGATCCCCAGTGCAATGACATAAAAACATGTAATTGAACCTGATGATGTCCACACTAGGCCGAAACATGTCCTTCTAGAAAAAGACTGCGAACTGAGTGAGTGTACAAATGTGACAGGCAAGGAAAAAATCAAGGAAAAATAAAAATAAGCTAATATATTTTTCGCATAGTTCATATGCAGTTTTTATTTGGACTGGGAAATTTCTTCTGTTCACAGACCTTATGGTGAAAACTGAACTCTTATTCGTGCTGATACATTAACCTCTTCTTATATCGCAACAGCG